CCTTTAGAACTCTCAGATGAATACCATCTGGTCCTACTGATTGATTGCAATTTAATTTCTCAAGTTGTTCCATCACCTTTTTTTGATATTCCCATTTCTGATAGTGCCTCACTTTCAATACCTAAAAAGAATAAATGATGGGTAGGTATTTCATCTTCTTTTGTAAAGAACAGTGTAAAGAAATCATTTAGTTGTTTCCTTTTCTTTTTCGATTGTCTCATGTAGATATAGAGGAAAACAAAATACAAAAGCAAGTCGAGTTTTTTCTTCTCTATTTTAAGAGGACTTCAACATTTTCTTTAAAAAATACCACAGATGTCTCTGAGATCTTTAAGTGAGACAATATGATAGAATCCGACACCCAAAATTTCAAGTTCCATTGCCATTTTCTATTAATTGTACCTTATGATGTTCAGCATACGATCAATAGTGGAATGCAGTGGAAGAGCTGCCAACATGTTTGGCTTTTAGTGTTGAATGTTTGCTATAGCCATGTAGAAAAATAAAGATGTATTTATACTATATATAGTGCCAGAATTTAGGGGAAGGGGAAATAACTCAGAAGACAAGCTCCTGTAATGGAACATTTAGCTGATAAACAAGCAAACAAAGACAAAACTATTACCAGACTGAAATGAAAATAGAGTAAGAAGTAAAACTACGATCATTACTGTCAATTGGTATCATACTTCTCAACTCTATATATCTATCCTCCCCACCCCACTCCCCACCCACCCACACATCCTCACATACTTCTCACTATTGTCTGTTGTGTCTTCTGACTAATTTAGACTTTAAGCTACTCAAGCAGGGAACTTTTCTTTGTATATGTCTGTACAGTTCCATATATGCCAATGGTGCTATTTAAATTATAATAATTCAGTGTTTTAACAAATACAAGTAAATAATAAGTTCAAATCAAAGGTAACTATTAGTTAAAACACCCTCAGGAAGTGTCCCAGAAAACATGACCTTTTGAGCTACAACCAAACCAGCCAACTTTATAGTGTCTTGAGGTCAAGTCTCCTATTTCACATGACTTCAGGGGCTTTAGGTACATGCTATACCAAAGTAAACCACACAGAATGTTATGATCAAGTAAACTTTTCACTCCAGCTCCAGCCTTACATTGAGGCATAGCAACCAGCTTCAAATAAACTTGTGACACAATATATCTGGAACCAGGCTCAGAAACAATTTGGAAAATTCATAAATGCTAGGTGGAGAGATTAAAATTAGGAGAAAAATAATCAGAAGGATGGTTGACATATAGTGAGAAAATTGGGATAAAAAATAAAAGGTCTGGACCTTAGGATTGCTGTCTCACCATGATTTGAAACTTATCAAAGGGATTTAGGCTTTGCAGCTGACATTTTAAATTGAGGATTTATTTAAACTTGTATTGAATATTTCTTTTGTAATTAGTTTTTGCGGTCATATTTCATTATCAGTATTTTTTTCTATTTACTTTTACGGTAGCAATGATGTGTATTGTAAGAGTATCTGAGAAATATATGAATATATTTATTCATTGTTAATGAGAGTTAAATAGCAAGATTGCTGTTGGGTTGCATCATAGCATTTTTTCTTGAGGTACCCTATATTTCCCACTTGTATATGATATTAGAATCAAGCAAGAGAAAGTGAGTGACATCTGACGCTATATAAATCATCCATCAATAACAAATGGAAGGTTTTAATTCAAGGATTTGTTCCTCTTATGTGTGTGGGTTTTTATTTTTGGAATATTATCCAGGTCATGTATGGATATTGCCTGAAGCTTGTGAAAAGCTTTGTGTGTTTCTCTTCTTTTCATTTTTGTGCATTTACAGAAATAGAATTAAATTTTGATGTAGCTGAATTTCTGAATTCTTGAATTTAGCTTAATTACTGGAGAAGGGAAGGATATTTTCACATTGGGTAGATAATTAATTTAAGAGGTTTGTGTCCCTTTACCACCTTTCTGGCCATCCCCCTCAAAAACAAAAGGCTAGAGAAAGAGTGTATTTCACAACAATTCTTGCTTAACTGTCATATGTGTCTGTGTGTTTGCATGCAGTTTCAGGAAAGAAAATCAGGCCCTGTGTCCGAATTTGGGACATAATTTTCTTTAATATTTGTATATTAAGAAACAAAGTCATAGGAACTAGGTGGTACAATGGTTTAAAGCACTAGCCTCAGGTCACCATAAATGAAATTGTGCCGGTCTAAATATGACAAGGAGTCCGGTGGCACCATATTTAGACTAGTATCAGGGGATAGCTGCGTTAGTCTGCATCCACAAAAACAACAAGGAGTCCGGTGGCACCTTAAAGACTAACAGATTTATTTGAGCATAAGCTTTCGTGGGTAAAACCCCACTTCTTCAGATGCATGGAGTGAAAATTACAGATGCAGACATAAATATACTGACACATGAAGAGAAGGGAGTTACCTCACAAGTGGAGAACCAGTGTTGACAGGGCCAATTTGATCAGGGTGGATGTGGTCCACTCCCAATAATAGATGAGGAGGTGTCAATTCCAGGAGAGGCACTTCCTCATCTGTTATTGGGAGTGGACCACATCCACCCTGATCAAATTGGCCCTGTCAACACTGGTTCTCCACTTGTGAGGTAACTCCCTTCTCTTCATGTGTCAGTATATTTATGTCTGCATCTGTAATTTTCACTCCATGCATCT